AAATAAATTTGTGGGTTTGCTCTACCTTTTCTTTTTCAGAATATTGTTACACAAAACAATATTAATACTATATTAGTGTGCAGAAAAGGAAGTCCACCTCAGATGTTGGATACAGGAGATTCGATCAGGAATCTCTCAAGTCACTTTCGTTCCAAGTTTTTTCCTTATATATGGAGACCCTTTAGTAAAATTTCTCTAATACGTGTAAAAAAGCTTTAAAAGTAACTTTCTGTAGTGTTGCTTTGGAGTTGCAGTGGGCTGAGGTATAGTTTTGGATTTAACACAGGTGATTGAGGGCACCACGTTGGCCCCCAAGTGGTGACTGATATGGGACCATCATTTGAAAAACATCAGGGAGCCATGCATGGTGATGCATACTTGGAATGCCTGTATAGTGTAAGGCTGAAGCAGGAGGATTTCAAGATCTAGGCCAACCTGGGCAACTTAGTGACTTAATGAGACCCTTTTTTCAAAATAAAAATAACTTTAAAAAGGCCTGGACATGAGAGAATTAAAAGGCATGATTTCCATTTTTGTACTTTTTGAATATCCAAAATGTGGATGGGGAGATGATAAAAAAGATTCAGCTTTCAGATGTGTAATCAGAGGTTAAGATTAACCTCAGGATTCTGAAGTCTAGTAACTAGAAACAGCTGATGCTGGTCTGTTCCAGGGCAGCTAAAGCGACTCTTATTAAAATTGTTCCACATGTAGGAGGTTCTCAGCTGTTCCTCAGAATGTTTTAAATTTTATTTCAGTTATGGTTTACACATTTGTTTCCTAGTCTTTTGATAGATTGTGGCAGCCACAAGAGAAAGGTGACCAAATGATGACAGAAAATGGAAAGGTTTAGAAAGATTAAAAGCATGGCATTCTGCGCAGTTCATCAGGTTTGTAACAGCACCTTCTCAGCCTTTCAAGGTCGTGGAACCCAGTCTACTTCTCTAGTTGTGTTTAGGGTCCAGTAAATAGAGTTTAAGTGATGATTCTTTTTGCTTGGGAGGGAGAGAGGCATGCATGTGTTTCCAAAAGTCCATTTCATGCTAGTCAGAACCATACTAAGATCATTTCACCTTAGAGTAGCTATCATCAAAAAGACAAAAATGGCCTTGCAAGCAGGAGGCCGAGGCAGGAGGATCACTGCCAGTTTTAGGCAAACTTGGGCTACCTAATAAGTTCAAAGCCAGCTTGAACTATGTAGCAAGACCCTGTCTCAAAAAACCAAACCCAGACAAACAACAACAAAAAACCCAAGTCAAAAGCAAAGTGGATTGGGATATAGAGCAGTGGTAGAACGTTTGCCCAGCATATTTCTAGGTTCCGTCCCCATCACCACAAAGGAAAACAAAAACAAATGCTAATGAGAATGGAGAAAAAGGGACTCTCTTACATAGTTGGTGGGAATTAAATTAGTAAAGTTACAATGGAAAGTGTGGAAATTCCTCAAAAACTCAAGAAGAACCTACCATACGCTCCAACAAGGCTATTGCTGGGTACGTATCCAGAGGAGATGAAATCATTCCCAAAAGATGCTTGCACTCCCATCTTCATTGCAGCACTGTTCAAATAGCTAAAATACAGAGCCAACCCAGATGCCTTCCATAGATGAATGGATAAGGAAGATGTGGTGCGTTTCCACAATGGAATACAATTCCACTGGAAAAAAGAATGAGATTCTGTCTCTGTAGCAACCTGGAAGGATCTGGAAGGTTGTTATGTGAAGTGAAATTAGTACACACAGAAAGACAAGTGCTGGTGTTCTCCTTTGTGGAACCTACTAAGACTGTGGCACAGAGGAACCATGCGGCAGTGGGGGCCACCCTGGGAGGGATGGGGCGGGATCAGAGTCCAGGGAGGGGACCAGAACCCAGGGCGCGATGTTGTTTTAGGTTCTTCTTTAGCACCGTAGTTGTGTGTAGGTGGAAACAGCCTACAACAGGCCAGGTATGGTGTTGCACACATGTAATTGCAGCCCTTGGGAGTTGGAGTTAGGGAGCTCGAGAATTTGAGGCTAGCCTGGACAGCATCCAAGACCTTGTCTTAAGATACAAGGCTTATCTGTGATATGTTTCAAGATGATTAGAAGAGGGTAAAATTCTTAACACAGAAAAATGGGTAATGTATAAAGAGCTAGAATTGATTTGATTATTATATCCTGTACTCATGCGTTGCAGTACATGAATTGTGTGTATTATAATGTATTCTGTAAAAATGTACAAGTGTGAAATAATGTAAAAGTTACTTTTAAAGATACATAAAATGGTGAGTGGATTTTGTAGCAGAAATGAAGTTTAATACTTTATGAATTGGGTTATATTAGTGTTTTGTTTCTCAGCTTTAAAAATGGTTAATTTGATTTCTCTTGTCTTGAAGTCCTGGGTCACACTCATTTGTTTTGATTGGCTTTATTCTGTTTTATTTTGCTTGATTTTATTCTCTTTAAAAGTAAAAAAAAAGTTAAATCGATAACTTAAGTGATTCAAGAGAGGCTTGTAGAGTATTAATATGATTACTATGATTTTTGGTATTTTTTCCTTCATTATCTTTAGTAATCAAAAATTATCAGTTAATCTCAAATTAATAAATTCAGTTTTAGCAAATTATATATTTAATTGTATACAAAGCATACTGCCTTTATAACAAGTTGTCTTGCATGGTGTTGACCCATAATAAAATCAGTTTTTAGTTATAACATTGACAGCATTGAATTATAAGTTCATGATTTTATTATGCCCATATCTTTGGGTCTGAAGGTTGCTTTTATTTTTATTTTTTTTTGTCTTTTTCCTTTTTATCGGTATCAGTGATCGAACTCATGACCGCACACTTGCAAGGCAGGCGCTTATGCCACTGAGCTAAACCCCAGCCCCAAGTTGCTTTTATTTTATTTTTTTATTTTTTATTTTTTTGTCTTTTTCGTTTTTATCGGTACCAGGGATCGAACTCACGACTGCCTGCTTGCAAGGTAGGCGCTTATGCCGCTGAGCTAGATCCCCAGCCCCATTGCTTTTATTTTTAAGACCAGTCCTATATGTACTGAAGTGATTTTGTAAATGTAATATAGGTGATTTTTTTTACAAAGATTACTCCCATGAAATCTGTTGGCAGATTGGATCATATTTGTAGATCATTTATTCATTTTTTGAACTGTCTACACATTTTTATTGAATGTGAACTCTTTGCCAGTTACAGTTATAGAATATAGTAATTGTACTGAGATAAATGATGGTTCTTAGTGAAGAGCTTGATTTAAATTAAAATAAAAATCCTCAAAGTAATAGAAAGATTATTTTTTTTCTTTTTTTTTTGAAACAAGGTCTTTCTTTGTAGAGCAGGCTGGCCTTGAACTCATCATATAGACCAGATTGGCCTTGAACTTGCAGCAATCCTCCTGCCTCAGCCTCCCGAGTGGTAGAATTATGGGCATGTGCCACCATGCCCAGACACAAAGATTATTAATATGGTTACTATTACTGTTTTTTACCTGAATTGAAATCTTAGGTGAAATCTTTTCAGAGGTCTTTCATGAGTCAAAACTAATAAAAAAGGAGTTTACAGGATGTCAAGTTTATAATCTCATTAAATTTTTATTATGCTTTAGCCAAAGCAGGATATATTGGTTTATAATCTATTGTGGAATTATCTTTCCTTCTGTTGTGGTCCTGAGGATCAGACCCAGGGCTTTATGCATGATAGGAAAACATTGTACCACTGAGCTACACTCCAGCCCTGGGTAATGGTTTTCCAGTCCATTTAGTTTTATGTTGAAAGTGGAGTTGGTCAGGCCTGGCAGCACACTCCTGTCATCCCAGCACTCACGAGGCTGATGCAGGAGGATCACTGCAAGTTTGAGGCCAACCTGAATTGCATAGTGAAATGCTGTCTCAAAACAAAATGAAACACAAGGCGGGTTAAAAGTGGTAGGGGAGGGGAATCTGAAAACTATGATACTTTATGGATTATATCTTTTTATTCATAGAAGAATATTTTTATTAAATTACTTTGTGTTCAGGTGGTATAGTTTAAAAGTTTCATATTTTCTCTAAAAATCTTGCAGTTTTTCAGCGTATTTTTTTCCAAAAGATTTTTATTAAAAGTTAAAGGTGGTTAAAAAAGAATAGGATCTGGGCATGGTGGTGCACTCCTATAATCCCAGCACTTGAAAAGCTGAGGCAGGAGGTTCATGGTGAGCTCAACGCCAGCGTGGACTGTAGGGACCCTGTCTGTAAAAAGCTCCAAAAGGAACAGGAAAAAAAAAACTGATTGTGGATTTTGTCCTTTTGAGACAGGGTCTCACTATGCAGTTCAGGCTGGACTTGAGCTCACCTTGTGGCCCAGACTGGTCTCAAACTTGCAACAATCCTCCTGCCTCTGCCTCCCAAGTGCTGGGATTACAGGCCTGCACCACCATGCCTGGCTTGATTGTGGATTTTGTTAGAAATAAACAGATAAAAATTTCCTGAGATTTTCCAAAATACTTGCAGATTGATATCCATTTTCCTACTAATTGTATTTGAATAAATGTTTCAAAAGAATTACATAAAATTACCAATTCTATAAAAACTATAGACACTTCAAAATGGTATTGCAGGACAGTAGTCAGTACAGGAAAATAAATAACAATAAAATCTACAGGAAGAGAAGTAGAACTGCACCCACTGTCAGCTCAGCATTGTGAGAAGTGTGATTTTATGATCTCAATGTGAATTTTCATCATTAGAATGCATTGTTTAGTCTAAAGATACATACATGATGCTTAGATCATTTTTCTCTTATTCAGGCTCTGAAGGTTGATTTGGCAAAACGTTTCTGCTTAAACTAGCTAAAGGGAAACCTTTGAGTTCTTGTCCATTTCCACTTTGCCTCTTAGAATTGATACCTCTAAGGTTTTCTACACTGGGTGTCATGGTTAACCCTCAAGTAGCCATTCATACTCTGAAAATCTGAATGCAAGCCATCCTTCTGGTGCTAATGCATTAGGACTTCTTCCTCAAATGTAGCTGCTATCTACCTGAAGAACATGGTGACCCAGTACTGGCCAGATCGAGAACCTCCACCGGGAGAAGCAGTCTTTCCATTCAACATTCATGAAAATGACCGCCAGCAGATACGTGATAATATTGTGGAAGGGATAATTCGGTCTCCTGATTTAGTGAGGTATGTTATGCTCCCTATATGTGGTTACCAGGAAGCAAGAACTATTTGGATTTGGGGCGGGCCTTGTTGCATCTGATCATCAGCCTCAGCTTTGTTTTCTAAAGAGGTAAAATGGGGAAGATGGACACCCAAAAAATATTATGTTACTTTGTTATCTTTGTCTTTTTAATTGCCTCAAAATGTTTTGGAGAAGATTTAGTTGCCATAAGTTGCTACAAAAAGAGGTAAGGTAAAAATCACAATCAAAATGATTGTGTAAATCCCTAGTAAGTGAATAGCCTGAATTCTTCATTTCCTTAAATTTGTTTACTGTCTGCCTTTCTTCACTTTGATAAAGATTGGTTCTGAGAATTCTCATCTACTACTTTTCTTAATGTTTTATATTTTCATTCAATTTTTATGAACTGAATGTCTTTTTCTTTGAAGGAGACAGGAGAGAGTTTATGTAAACTAGAATAACTGACACCAGCTTTTCAGACTCAGATGAGGTATGATGCTGTAAGAGCAGCCATGTGGCATAGGTGACTTTCTGACCTTGAAATGTGACTAGCTGGAGGAACTACATTTTAGTTCCACTTAATCTTGATTCATTTGAGGTCTACACATGGATCTAGTGGTGGCTGCTTTGTTGGATAACTCTTGCAGTCCTACACTGAGAAGTTTTTTTTGTGTGTGTGGTACCAGGGATTGAACCTTGGGTCTTTCACATGCTAGGCAAACTCTCAGTCTCAAATTTTGCCATCTTAAAACAGAAGAAACAAATACTATTCAAAATATGAGCTAGTGAGTTTCTTTTGAAAGTGAAAGGGCAAGGCAATGAAATAGTGGTATTTCCTTGAAATTATTAAGGTATTAATTATAACTTTAACCATGGCTGTCTAATAGACATTGCCATAAGGGTAGAGGAGGAAAGAAGTTTGAAGGGAATGGTAACAGGAACAACAGATGTTGGGCAGTTACTCTGATAGTTAAAAATGTCACCATTGTTCTCATTGATTGAAAATGCCATTCATGGCTCTGATACCTCTGTGATAACATCGTATGTCCATTTCTTGTCAAAATGCTTGCATCTGCTGACCTCCTTGAACCTTCCAGTAATTCTACATAATAGCACATAAAAGGCCATCCTTTGCTTGGCTTGGAATGACAAAGGGCTGAAGACGAAATGAAAAAAGCTTTCGTTTTTGTTGCAGTATGTGACCATGGTGGAGCAGAGGATGAAAGGTTCTTCAGGGATGAGCCTTGGTTCATTACTGAGAAACCCAGAGGGGCTGTCTCTTTGCATGAGAAAGCCTCAAGAATCAGCAGCGAGCTGAGACTCGGGTTCATGAGAACAAAGGTGTGGAAGAAAAGCACTTGCAGTGTTTGTAGAGGGGTTTTGGTCAGGGGACCGGGAAGGAACGGTATACACATGTTGACCTGTATAAACTGTCTTTATCAGGGCAGGTGGGTACAATAGCCAAAGCAAATGTCCCTGAAAATATTGTTGATTCTGGTGACTGTTGTCTTGCAGATCTGTTCTAAACTTAACTATGCATTCCAGGGGCCTGGAAACTTGTTCCCAAGGTCCTTTCCTTTTCTCATTCATGTCAGTCACTCCTTTGCTCGCAGTCTCCCCACAATTCCCCTTTTTTTGTTTTATAATTTAGATTGAACAGAGAAGAAAGAGTGCAGGTAGAGGAATATTGGATTTCATGCAGGAAGGTCATCCTGGCTTCTGCATGGTGAGTCCATTGAAACAGCATACAGAGTAGGACTGCAAGAAAAAGTGGAAAAAAGATTATTCTCATAGCTATAAGAATCTAAATGTGAAGGTTGATACCAGGGAACCAGTGTTTAGGATTGAGCCAGTAGGCAGTATCATTGAAGAACAGAGGAATGTTGGAAGGCTCCATCTGAAATATGGGAAGTTGGGCTTCAGGTTGGTTCTGAAGATTAGTAACATCTCTATCCATGTTTGTATGAAAGGCACCATAGAGAAAGTGTTGAACTTCTTCCTAAGATTCAGAATGATTAAAAGGAATAGGAGTAACACACGTTGAGTAATACCCAGCATTACAACTAAGCCGACTATGTGTTTACAAGGCCTGTTGGTGTTCACTGAACCAGATGACAGCAGCCTCACGGACATTAAGTCTTTGTAGAATTTCTTTTTCAATATTAGAGTCAGTAGTTATGAGGTAACATTGTGGAAATAGCTATTCATAGTTTGAGCAGTTTGGATTGAGTGATTCAAAGTGACCAGTGCAGTTGCCACAGTAGTGGTCAATGCAATAGCCATGATACTACTTGTAATCAAAATGCATAGAAGGTGCTTTTGTCTGATATATTCAAGCAATGAGGTGATTTGTTCAAGAGCAAAATTTGTTATCCACTGTAAAATGAGATTGGTGGGGAGTCATGCTTCAGCTTGCTGCCTGAGTATCATAATGTGTGTCATATTTAGCTGAGAAACACTATTATTTGTGATACAAGGTATCAACCAGATGGCATTGACAGGCAAAGAGATACTTAAGTTCTTTAAAGGGTCTATAATGACAAAAGAATTATGTTCACTTATCTTAGATTCCTGATTAGATTCCCCTAGTAAGGACTAGAGGGGCGAGGGTGAACCTTTTAGACCTTTCAGTGATGCAGACAGCCCACTGTAGCACATGTGCCACAGGTGTACTACTACTGGCCTAGAATATATGGATGGGAAGAACTGATTGTAACATCGTCAGAAGTGTCATGAACAATCTGGGTGAGCTTAGCTATGTGCTGATAATTACCATTTCTTATAATGTGAGGGAAGAAGGGAATAGCTAGGCTCCAAAGAGATTTCTTGATAGGAAAATAAGTATAAAAATATTACATCTGAAGAGAGGTTAATAAGGATCTGGCAAGACCAGGATTTGATGAAGGTGGGCTGCCATAGTTATTAGCCAGACACAAAGGACCTAGGACTCTAGCAGTATTAATAAACATGTGACTGTGAGTTCTCTTGGTATATTTGGGCCCAGTGAAAATATGATCATGTACACCACTGAGGATGAAAGGAAGCACAGTAATAACTATTAGTGACCAAACAAAGGGGAAATTCCTCAGCCAAAAAGTACTGTTCATGAGAGAGTAAATGCCACCTGTTAGTGTCTGCAGAGAGGCCACAGTCTGCACCACAAGAGGGGGCAGGTAAGCTCTGCCTGTGTGTGAATTGTCACTAGAGAAAAGAGGTGGTTTTGGATCCCTATGTAACTGTGTCAAAGACAGGTGAGGCTAAGCATGTGAGTCCAATAAATTGTGTTGCCTACTTGAGATATATGTATGAGCTAACTCAAACATAAGACTTTTTACGTTTGTAATTTTGGAGTTGCCAATGACTTATGCAATCATTACAATAAATGAGTTTTCAGAAGTGAAGGAAATTCTTGTGCTTTGCAGCCTCTCACTTGGTGCTGCCTGGTGGGATGCACACCCTTTTCAGGAAACCCAGAGATGGTCTCTGGGTGATAACACAGATGCGTGTCTCCTCCAGCAGGCTCACACTTCTGAGGGGCCTATCCTTTGTAGGAATAAAGTGTTTCTCCATTGCTGTGAAACTTTCTGAATCACAGTTTAAAACATGTAAATAGTGCTTTAAGTACTTGGTCTTGCGGGGGAAATTTCTCCAACATACTCTTCCCTCTTTTTTGTTTTATTTTATTTTTATTTTTTATTTTTTTGTCTTTTTTCTTTTTATCGGTACCAGGGATCGAACTCATGACTGCCTGCTTCCAAGGCAGGTACTTATGCCGCTGAGCTAAACCTCCAGCCCCCTCTTTTTTGTTTTATTAATTGGGTATGAAAGAGCCCATTAGGTCATTCTACTATTGGTTGATTTGTAGGGTTACGGGGTATAATTGTGGCATGGTTAATATGCCAGAGTTGAAAGAAAGCCCCAAGAGAATTATAAAGAGGGATTTAAATATCCAGAGTAGGCATATATAGGAATATATTTAAGTTTACCAAAAGGGTTATAATGAGTTAGACCACTTGTCAGGTTGTATTACCTTGTAAACTGTGGGGATTGACTCCTATGTGAGGAGCAGTTTTTGGCAGTCAGGACAGGTGGAAATCATTTCTTGGGCCTGTGTATGTATAAGATTAAAAGAATGAATGAGTGCTTTGTCACCTTGGTGAAAACAGTGATGTGAGCAAAAGCCTCTTCTAAAGAGGTGGGAAGCAACTAGAGTTGCCTGCCACCAGAGGCCAGAGAGATTAGAGTGAGAAGCGTATGTGAGCAATGTAAAACAGGTACAGTGGGTGTCTAATCAATTGTTGCAGGTGTCTAAATATGTGGAAAAGAATTTCACCATGACCATTACGAGGGCAGTTTTAATACTCTGTGGAGTCCCCACAACATAGGCCAAATCAGTGACAGTATTGAGGGGTTAATTAGGGGATTGTTAATTTTTATCCATCATGGTTGTTGTAGAAGCTGAATCTGTGTAGAATGTTAACAGATAACAATTATAAAGTGTTATAGGGAAAACCTTCATGATGACATCATGTTAAATGACATGAAAAAGCTTACCTAAATTTGTTTTTTGAAATAAAGTATCTAAGGAGAATGTATTTTTTGTAGATGAATTTTATGTGACATTGTTTGGACTGTACAATACGTGAGCATTGTTGGGTATCCTCCCCAAACCTCAGCATAAGCCTTGAAAAAGTGTTTATGTCCTGGCTGTCCTATGTTGGCTTGGCATGTGTATTTTGTCACCAACATACACCAGCTGGAACACAAATAAGGGAGGGTCAGATATTTGAGTTTAAAAGTTTGTCATTTTAAAAGACTTTAACCTGGGAGTCACTATACAATGGAATGGTTTTTAGCTTTGTATCATTGAAGACCTATATATTTGGGAAGTATACATATGTTTGATATACTGTGAGGCCAGCAATAGTGAGTGTTTCAAGGTAGGGTGGAGCTGCTCAAGGAGGCAGCTTTGTCTGTGTTTTGTCATTACTAGGTTAGTGTC